TAAGAGGGTAAAAATAGGGCCGCGAAGCGGCCCATTGATGGCGCGGAGCGCCTTCAGGGGGTTGGGCCGCGTAGCGGCCAGGGGGCGTAGCCCCCTAGTTTTTTTCTATGTAGCTCCGACGTTTATCCGTCATCGACCACCAGTCATCGTGTGGCAAAAAATCGCGTTGACCCCTGAATTTAACTTATCCCTTGCACAATTACATTGCTTCAATTTAGTGCGTAATGGGGGGGTTAAAGTATTCTGTCCCTGTTTACTCTTACAGCCAATTGAACAGCACTAGCAACTCACTCGTGGTCGACTGTGTTTGTCTTCGCCGTTGATTACCTCCAGTCCGCTCGATGACTACGATCGCGGATAATCTGGGAGGCAGAGTAAGCCCGATTTTAATCAAGCAGTTGCATAATATACTCTAGTTCCTGCATTTCAAAGACATCAGTTTTTTTCCCGCCTACTCCCTCCGCCATCGTGTTTTCACGATGCAAGTCATTTTATGGTGACTCACAAAAAGTGGAACAGCTCAATTGTATCGGAGCTAGGATTTTTTTCAGGGACCGCAGAAAAATTGCGAACGGTAGTAAGTCGTCCATCTGTAACCCCATTCCGGAGCCACGAAACGTCAAATAATCGTCTCCGAAAGCCACTTTGAAGTCTTGTAAAAGTTTTTTTTTCCGGTGTTTTATCATGTATCACACACAGTCTATCAGAATAGATACAATTAAGCTCAAGTTAAACTGAGTAAATTCAGTACAAATTGTGTCACTGAATGTAGAGTACATACGGAAAAAAAGAGGTAGGGGTTCAGTCCGAACTGTTGGATGATATGGACATTCTCAATTGATTGTCGTAGTATCCCAATTAATTGTGGTAGTATCCCGATAAATTAGGTTACTAACCCAAATGTTGCGGTTCTACCCCAACTTGAGTTGCGGTGCTACCAAAATTATTTGGAAATGTCCGTATCATCCAAGAAATTTGGGTAGTAGCACAATTATAGGGGATAACCCCTGACACTTTTTTCCGTGTAAATTATGCAACGTTATGTAACATTAAACGTGGCTTTTCTAGGAAAATATTGGCATATTAATTGACTTCACTTACCCTAAAAACCTCTAGTCACTCATTTTGCAAGGTTTAAACCTACAAATCTTATTTAATGCCGCTGATATCGGGCTATAGGACCATGCATGCCGTCGCGACGCGCGTGGGTGAGGCAATGCGTGTCTGGAGAGTCAAAGCGCCTTAACTTCCGTGCGTATGCAACACGGTCATCCATAGAGCCCGAATAGTCGCATCCTGGCGTTATAATCATATCGGTTGTATCGTTTTGTATTTGCCGCATGCGACATCAACTGAATTGTTTCTTTTACACAGTGAATTAATTGCAGTGTTGCCCATTGTGCCGATGAAGTAAACGATTACTGATTTTCATCGCAACATTGTCGATTTTTCAAGAATTTAATCGTTTAAATGTATCACAACGTTGCGAAAAACACAAATTTGCAAGACTTTAGGTATCTGAGCATGATTTGTAGAGTTTCATGTACCTTACTTCAATGTGTCATGCAGTGTTTAAATTTCCCTCTCCCTTTTTATAAAAACTAATTTTGAAGTTCAAGTGCGAAATTGTTAAAGGCCAATCCTGGTAAATCGCACGCAATTTTAAATAAAAACAATGTATTTTCTTCTTTCGGAAAAATTAAATTCGGCCGGAAAGCCAATATCACATGCCTAAATACACAAATATGATTTCTTAGATGCAATGGCGAACACCGAGCCGATCCGGGCACGTGTGGTGTGGTACCGGCTTGACCGTCCCGATCCCCGATGGCCGGAAAAATAGAGGGATCGCGCGGCGGGTCCCACGCCCCTTGCACCCTTTGAAAGGTCGCGCGGTGATCCCGTTCGTCCCGTCGAGAGATGCGCGATTTTTCGTCATTTCCGGGCGCTTTTTTTCGGTCAGCATTCGACTGCCCGAAGCGTTTGTCGTCATGGAAATCAACGAGGTTGATGGATTTACGGCGGAAGCGTGCTTCAAAATTTTACGTAAATTAAGTATATTCACACAACGGGAAGTTCGGAGATCAACTTCTGAACGAGATACAAACAAATCGATGACCGAAGTGCGAAGCCACCGATCTCCTTTTGCGACGTTGCAGAAGCAAACTCTCTGCCACACTCAACGTAATGTTTTAAAACATTCTTAATTTTTTTTTCTCCCTCGGTAGAATATCCTGTATATATTTCGAGCTATCAAGGTAGCTTCTTTCTCAATTAAAAAATTTGGAAAAAATGAGTGAACAAAATTCCGGAAAATTTCCACAATCCTTCGTTCCCCGGAGTGCAGGCTCGCGGTGTGGACACCAATAAGCGACGAGGACATGGATCTCTCGACGTCGGGCTCGAAGGATCGAAATCCTAGGCTTAGATTAACTCCTAACCGTGGTAATAACGTTTCTCATGAATAAATTCAACCTTTCGCGCTCATAGAAGAAAGAATACTTTACCTGGGTTAAATTGCACACTAAGCTTTACTAAGACAGTTTCAGTAATATGAAAATATAGCAACCTCAATCTTGACGCTCAGCTCTATAGCTGTGCACACTTTGAACAACAAAATGTCGGAAAGAAACAATGCTGGAAAGGTCTACTAAAGCCGTTGTAGTACGCAATTTGACTCAAGTTTGGTTTGGTTTTTCTTGTGACCAGGCAAATGAAAGTTCTTGTAACCCGTGGACGATAAAAACGTTAATATCTTGACTAGAAATTGATTTCAGTAGTTTTCGTTGCGCGAATCGTGTTCTACGTGAAATTCTGGTGAAGAATCATTTATATGAATGCTTAAATTCACACCTTGGTTAATGGTCCATTCAATCTAGAAAAGCTAACATACAGATCTTTCCTTACTTTTCTCAGAGAAAATATTTTATCGGGAGAAATGAGGCAACGTTGGAGTACTCAGTACTCACACGGCGTCGAAACACAGCATGGAACTTTTAAGCCCAATAGTTCGATGCCGTGATTATCCTAACGCAAGTTCGAATAATCACCCCAAACACGTTGCGGTCGGCGTCGAACTCATATCAGCGCTTGCAAGCCTGCAGGAATACTTCATGCATTGCGCCAACCAGTGCGGTCGGCGTCGAGCGCACGTTAGCGCCTACAAGACTGTATGAATACTTCTCGCATTGCACCAAACGCAGTTCTAGCGCTATTTGCGATAACTATTCAATTACGGGCACATTGCCGCCAGCCGCTAGCATGGATTGATGGCGCATCACACTGTGAAGATGCCTCGACACTCGACCGCACTCCCTTTCCTGGCTGGCGCGACGCTCAAATCGCCGCTAAAGGCGAGGTCCACGCTCCACGCGTCATTTCTTTTAACGGTCCCTTCTCGGTTTTTACCCCGATGAAAGTATAAATATGTATTTTAATTGCAACGATAGAGAAACTCGGACGCTGTTTAAACGATGCAGCGATTCTGAAACTTGAATCGCCTAAAATTAATTTTGGTTTAATAAAAAGGAAACAGAACGAACGAAAATATTGCGTCGAAATGTTTTGTGATTTTATTTGAAATCATTCCGGAAATCGAAACCTCTAAAAAATTGTGTGTCAATAGCTTTCTTAAAAAAAAAAAAAAAAAAAAAAAAAAAAAAAACTTTTCAGAAAAACTGTGTGCAGCTTTTTAAAAACGGTGTTCAGAAATAAGACATAAAAAGTGGTGCATAACATTGCGATCAAAGATGAATTCGCTTTCTTTCGCGTGCATCCATCGGCTTTTGAATCATTTATCTATGAAATAACTTGAACATGGTTGTTCTACGATTTTTTACGTGTAGTTTTTCTTCAGTATGGTTGGCGGCCGCGGAGCGGCCACAGGCCCCTGGTATTAGTGAAAATGACATCATGTTCTACTCTTTCCCTCTTGAAATGTGGGCTGCGTCTAGTGACGAAGCGTGAATAATAGACTATCGATATTCTCCCATTTGAATCTACGGTGAAGAATCGATCACTAAGGTGTTCGATGCGACCACCTCGATAATTCCAAGCTTTAAACGACAGATTAACCGATTCATAGTAAAGCCCAACACTCCTTCACTCACTAACGTAATAACGACTAATGCGGCATAATCTTTTCATGGACACTTTAGGAAAAAAATAGTTCTCCGAGTCAAAACGCCCTCACTTCCGTACGTATGCAACACGGACATCCATGTAGTCCGAATAGTTGCATGCATGCTTTATGATGAAATGTGTTCGTCGCATTCGACACTAACTTAGGGCGTTTCATTTGTTTTGATTTCAAGACCTAACAACGCTACTGGTTTACTTTAGTTCGGTATTTGTATATTGTTATATTTGTGTATTGTGTATTTGATACTACCTTCCAAAAGCAACTAATGTAATTACTTAAGAAAAATCACAGTGAAAAGGTAATATTCCGTCAATTTTGAACACTCGCATTTGCTTGATTCCAAAATTAGCGGTGCTTTTTTTCCTACCCGCTCGTTAAAGTCTCTCGCGTATATTCCGGAACACGGGTTCAAGTGACCTTGCTTGCACTCTTCTCACTCCGCGGCTCTTCAAAACTTCTACTGAGGTTAGGTCTTCGCACCCCCCTGCGTGTTTCAAGGGCGAGATTCCTTAGGCAGATACTTCGGTACCGGCTGGCGGCGGAAGAAGAGGTTCGGGAGGCTTCCCCAGAACATTTTCAAGAAGTTCAAAGCGTCTAACATTCAATTTGAGTCAATTTCATCATTTATAAGTTCCAAATACAAGCTTTCCTTACTTCTTTCCTTCGTTTCTTTCTTTGCTTTTTCTTCCTCCTCTTTTTCACGCCGCGGGCNGGGGGGGGGGGGGGGGGGGCTGGCGCATGCCCCTTCGCCCCCCTTGAATTCGCCTATGCCAGTTTTGGAGTGTGCTCTGATTTTGAAGAAACGTAAGAAGAAGAGTATTTTTGTGTGTTAATTGTGCGTGTTTTGATATGTCGGCAGGTGGGGACAAGCTTGCTGCTTGCAGCGCTGTCGGTGGCGGCGCGGAGCGTGGCAGGCGCCGGGATTTCGAGCACGACGGCCTTCCCGACGACGGTGACGATCGGGGGTCGGGCAGGCGGGGGAGGCGCCACGACGCCCGGGGGCGGGGGCACGACGCCGGAGCGAGCCGCCCGCTCCCTCTTCGACCTGGACGCCACCCTCCGGCAGTGGGTCGACTCCCCGGTCCCCGAGCAGGAGCTCAAGGCCGTCCGCGAGCAGATGGCCAGGACCAAGCGCAACGGCGACGACTTCCTCACGTCGGCGCTCACCTCCAAATCCGGATTCCTCGAGTCCCTCAAGACCGCCTACGGGGACATCCAAGCACCCTCCACCTACCCTGTAAGTACAATCATCAGCTCTGTCCGACCATAGAGTACATAGAATCGTAATATAAGTGGAAGCAGGGGCGTAGCTAGGAAATTTCTCTGGGGGGGGGGGCATGGGACCACCTCTCGTGGTGAAGAGAGCGGGGGGAGGGTGAGGAATGAAGGATCCCATTTTTCTGGGGGGGGGGGCACGAGATTTCTGGGGGG